AAGTTTAGTGAAAATCAATATGGCGGTTAGGACTAGATAAGAAATTAGCTCTCTAGCGCCCCCATTTTGTTTGATCAGGTCAATAATGGAGGGGTCCCCTCAGATTATGTGTGGTCATATGCCTACAAAGTTGTGTGGTGATCGGTGAAACCCTTGAAATGTTATACACCTTTATGTGATGAGCCACGCCCTCCACAATATTCATTGCCTTATAGAAGCTCAGTTTTAGTAAGTTTTCCAACTTTTGCCAAGAGGGAACTTTAGATATTGGTCCCTAGATTATGTTCACCGAGTTTCATGCAGATCGGTCAAACTTCCTAGGAAGAGATCCATTTGAAGTGTTTTTCAAAAAATTCAAAATGGCAGAAAATCTGTATAATCGGAAGTTATGGGTTCTTGAGGCAAATTTGTTCCTCATGAGGAGAGGCGTCTCTGTGCAAAGTTTCATGTCTCTACAACATACGGGGCATGAGATATGCCCATTCAAAGTTTGCAATTTCAATGGATTGCTTTAGCGCCCCCCTTTGGCCAATTGATGTAACATTGCTTCATTCACATCCTCCCATGACCCTCTACCACTGTGCCAAATTTCACATGGATTGACCAAGTCAGTGAGGAGAAAAACGGGGAACAGACACACAGACACACACACAGAGTTTTCATCTTTATATAGTAAGATGAGCTGCTTTTGTCACCGTTAGGTGCAGGGGATGGCGGATGGTATGACACCTTGGTGAGCCAGCCACCAAACTGCAGACCACTGTTCAAGACCATAGACTCATTAAAAATAATGGATGTAGCTACTGTGACATCGCCAATTGGTTTTTGGACTCCCATTTTTGGCGTTACAGCCATTGTCATTTTGGTTTTTTGGAGATAAAAGTGACCATATTTGGGCAAGAGGCTGGCGCTGTGGAGGAGGGAGGAGGGGTGGATCTGACTGAGAAGCTAAGGACACCATGAGCAGACTGCCTGTTTCTTAAAGGGAGCTGCCTTTTTAATTATGCATAACTTCAAGCCTTAATAAAACGTAAATGGGTGAGTTATATAAAAATTCACCCCCCGTACAGCTGTCATGAAGGAAAAATTAGCTATAGAGACCAAAACTGTTTTTTGTACCAGGCTGTAAACGTATAAACCTGCTTCTGGAGCCAGCCTCAAGTGGCCGTTCAAAGAACTGCAGTTTTTGGTAATTCTGTGTTGGCTTCATTTTGCAGCCCAAGAAGCTGCTGCTTGTTTGAGAAAGAAAAAAACCAGAAAACACTTGTTTTCTGGTGTTTTTATAGCGAGACAATAGCGGCATTTTTAGCAGCGATTGTGGCACCAAAACTGGCGATTGTGGGTTTTTTTTGCAAGACATTGACAACATTTCAAGAGGTGATTGTGACACTAAAACTGGGTTCCTTTTTAGCAAGACATTGCAGCATTGCCAGCAATATCTGTGGCACCAAAACCAGATATTGTAAGCCAAAAACATAATCTTTTTCTTTTTTAGAAAGATATTTTTAGAGCTTTTTTTTTTTTACCTTTTTTAAATGATAGGGCAGTTTATTAGCATGAAGGGGGAGAGAGAGGGATGACATGCAGCAGGGGGCCAAGGGTTGGAATCAAGCTTGCAGCTGCCGTGGCAAGGTCGAAGCCTTTGTACATGGGGTGCCTGCATTACTAGGTGAGCTAACAGGCAGCCCCATGATCTTTTTCTAACCATAACCAAGTGGTTTTTGTGCCCAGACATAACCACATATTCCTACTCCTTGACTTGCAGTGTCACGGACAAAAAAAGCTGTCCTTTAACGTCGGCATAATACGTAGCTGGTTGCTGTTATGGGTTAATTGTGCTTGGCTATGTCAGAGGGAAACGTGGCGGGACAAGAATGAAAGTTAAGGTGGCGAAAGTCTGAGTAGGGTGGGTGGGACGGGTGGTGGATGGGTCCAGCCTTTCACCCAGAAGAGCAGTGTGTTCACGTCTTTTTTCCTAAACCTAACCAGGTGTTTTTTTTGCCTAAACCCAACCACGGAACCAAAAGGGAAAAAAAATGTCAATTTGCGTTGTTGTACTGACGTAATGCGTTTATTTTGAAAGAGACTGCATGTAAACGGTAAATTTCCTGTGAAAACAGAAGTGTATTTTGAAGGAAGACAATGCATCTAACAGGCAGAACTTGACGGCGTCCCAGAACATCAACAACCAACACATCCAGGGTACCTTTCACCTCTTATCTGGACGTGGAAGGTCCATGACCAAACGTCGATATGTGACGAGATCGGAGTGAGAATGTGTTGTGTTGACACATTAAAAAAATGTGAAGTTTTTAAATATTTGCAACAAGAAAATTTATAAATGTTACTTATTTGTGGCTTGCAGAAATGTACAGGGCATTAAAAATCTGCATAAAAAATTGGTTTCTAGAAAAATAAATGTCTAGAAACCATTTGGACCATAATCAACCAAACCTGTGTCAATAGGCCGAAATATAGAAACTGGAGGTGTCTACATTTATACTGTACATTCATACTTGTATGTTAGCTTCTAGGCACCAAAGTCAGTGCAGCAGGTGAACCTTGCTTTGAGGTTAGAATGGAAAGCATTCACAAAAGATTTTAGGCACATTCTGGTGACAGAAATAGAAGGTAGAGATGGAGTATATAGTTACAGACAAATGGAGGTAAAGATGAGAAGGATGAGGAAAGGACTATGCGGTCTGATAGGGAGAAAAGCACCGGAAAGGACACAAAAGAAAAGACTTTTGATGTTGTTTTCATGAAATATTTCACAAAACACATAATAAGGAGAAGTATAATAAAAGGACTCCCAAAGTAAGAGAAAAAGACATGTGGAGAGGGGAAACAGAAACTGTGTATTCACATGTCAAGCAACCTCATCCTAGTGGCTGATCCGAGCTGGTGCTGCATTGATAGATGGTAAATTCTGCAGTGCTGGAATTGGTTATTGATGAGCAACGTTGCACAAAAAAAGTAAAGCTGCAGCCAACTTTTCCTGGCTGACAACACTGGTGAGTCCTGCCAAAAGACTGCCTTGTCTTGGTTGCTTAGCTCATGGAAAATCAGCGGTCTGACCTCCGTAACACGGTGTCAAGTTTTCTTGTATTGTGGAAGCTCAAAGAGGGAGGGAGCACGGCCGAGAAAGAAAAACAGAGCCAGTGACATCCATGCCTCTTAGACACATCTGCCACTCTGCAATGTTTCTGATTCCTCTGACAAGTTTATCTCTGCAGTGATTTATCTACAGCTTTGACTTGCGTAACCATCAAACGCAGTCCTTTATCTTTGCTTTTGCGTGATTAAATAAAACTGATTATGAAGGCAGTAATTTAAGAAATACTCTGAGCATTCCTAAAAACTCGACTCAACTGCAGGCGTAATGTGAATTTGGGAGAAGAAATGAGCACAAATAAGCCTGAAGACTCCCAGAACCGCAATAGAAACTCGTCCAAGGAAAATCATTACTGTCTTTGCTCAACTCTTAATGAATAAAGCTGTTCAGGGGTTGCCTGAAAAGTTGCCAAGTCTTTCAACAAAGTTGCTAAGTTGGCTTCAGTGACACCGGTCACGTTGTTTGCCAATTTCTGCAGCACTTTTCCTCTGAAGAGAAGCAAGCGAATGATGAAATGACACCCTCTGACTGTTTATCTATCAGTGCTTTGAGCAACCAAAAGCTACTTTCCGACTTTCTACCTGTATATTTGCATAACGTGCAAACAAGGGGACGTATAAAATACAGCTGGACATCATTATAGAGAGACAGTAAACAAAACTCAGACATACCTTTGTTGTCAGCTGCAGTCGTCTGGCTGCTGTTAGCAGAGTTAGTGGATGCCAGCTGGAGAGAAGAAAGAACACTTTGAGAAACATGAACTGTAACTGTATACGTCATACTGTCACATTAACGGGATTTACCTTTGTTCTTAGACGCTCCTGTAACACACACTCTAACTGGCACGCTTACACAAAGCATGTTGCGTGATTCAACATATGTATAATTACTACACAATAAAGCCACTTCCTGGTTGCCAAATTAAAGTGTTTTCATCCATAATTAAATGATCCAAGTCTCATGGTTTTATTAATAAACATTGTAGCTTCCACGCAGACTGTGGATAAATCTGTACTCAGTTCTGTTGCTGCCAAACAGCGCAGCTCGATAGTCTCATATTTTGCTCGGAAGCGCTTCCTGGCAGGCTGGATGAGAAGCAGAAGACTGTATGGTGTCTTCTTGGAACTGTTTGAATGACTGCGAGGGACTCGAAATGACACGTTCGCTGTGCGGAGAGAGCTGAATGAGAGGGAGCTGAATGAGTGCGAGTGTAAGCCAGGTTCTCCTACATCTTCTCATATGCCAAATTTGCCATGAGTCTACAGTCGGAGAGGATAAACAGAACAAGGCAGGGGCGAACTGTGGCTAACATCTCCACTGTGTCCAGATGACAGGGAATCTAATTTTGGGATCTTTCATCTCTGTATCTGTTTCTCTGCCTCAAAAATAAAACTCTGCAGTTTTGGTTCAGTCTCAAAACCTTGTTTCCAGCAGCAGCTGCTTGTTTAATCAGAAAAGCTTTAATAAACCCACTGTACGCTGCCTGCCCAGCTCCAAATCATAGACAGAAATAGTAACAGAAACAGTAAAGCATTTAGCATTTTCCCGCAGCAGTTGGTGGAGACGAAAACCAGAGCTCAAAGACGAGTGAATATTGGACTTGCAGTTGTCGAGAGGCCAGAAACATAACTTCCAATGAATGCTAATGTTACTCGTGTTTGCTGGATGCGTAAATTGGCAACGTTCTCTACGTTCTCTGGTTCATACGTATACCTACAAAAACGAATGCACCACAATTCATGTATAACCAGCGTAATTATGAGACGATTTGTGTAAAGTCCACGTAACTTGGAAGGCTGCGATCACATGACCAATATGCTAACGGGAGCAAAGATGCAAGTAGAGTTGGGGTGGTGGATGGTTCTAACACTACAGGACTTTCGGTTAGGAGACCGGTGATCGGAACCGTGTAAAACCAAGTGAAGTTTAGGTTACTTCAAGGTACATTGTCACCATGTTTCTTTTCCTAAACCTAACCTACATAACTTTACTTGCCTAAATCTAACGTATGTAACTTTATTGGCCAAAAGGTCACGTAAGTATCTCTATGTTAAGTACATAACTTTACGTTAAGTATGTAACATCATTCATGAGGTGCTAATTCATTCACTATCACACGAACCACTGTAGATATCATACAAACCGTTGTATGCCCCCAAGTGGCCCAAAACATCAATTGATACAGCTTAAAATACAATGCCAAGCAATGTCTTGTAGACCCTTTTACAGTTTGTGAACAATAATGACACACATGGGTGTGCACGCAATATGGCGGTGCAATAGCTTGTCAAGCTATTTAAGGACATTAACCACTAAAGGTCACCAGTACCGATTTGTTGGTCTGTGTGTTGAAGATATTGGCAAGTGGCCAGATAGGAACATGTATTTTGTTGAGAAACGTAACGTGTACACGCGAGAAATTACAAGTGTACAAGTCACGATACACTTCCAACTAGTGTCACATTATCTGTGGTCATAGGCCGACATGACATTGAGTACCATGACAAAGACCCAGCATTTCATGTCTTGAAATCAAAAGTACTCCCTTACCAAAGACACAAGACCACTATGTATGAGGCTTGTGTTGTAATTAACATACCATAAAACTAACCACCTGCATTTTGTGTTGTTGGCCTGCTAGCTAGCATAGTTCAGGGCTTGATATAGTTATATGCAAGCATGAATGCAGCCTCTGTTTTACTGTAACGAGAATTTCTGATCATGTCCTCAGTCCAGTGGTGAGTCAATACATGTAATAGCTTGCAGTTGCTGCCAGCATTTTGGTTGTAGTAATGAGTTACAGTGTTGACTGGTAATTAATGATAATCAGCACAGATGAGTATAATTGATGTAAGTAAGAATTAAAGGCTTTAACAGGACACCTACATGTTCTCGGTGTTTTTCACAGCTGCCATTGCTACGAGCAACCACAATGAATTTGGATGAGTTAACATCATCACCTGCGAAAGCGAAACGGTCCTGATCCTGTCAGAATTCAGTACAACCTGAGTCCACTGTTGGAATAACGATTATGACTACTGAACACGTAACTATTTTGAGGCTGGTAACAGTTTTAATTTAATGTTTAAAGCTTGCCAACTCGTTTCCCACTCCCGCTGCCAGCTTGCATGCATGTATTTCTGATGACGAGGGCTTTAAAAGGGTCCATATAATTTTCTTGGAACTAACATTAACTGGGAACAAATAGGGTGTCCATTTTTTGTGGAACTTTTTGGCATGTGATCTGTTGTTGTCATTGTTATCGTCTCCCAACTAAAAGTGTTTCTTAAGTCGTGAGGTCACGGATGGATTACTGAATGGGCTTACAAGGCACAGTCCCAGGGGCCCAAAGTGTCAGGAGTGCGTTACTTAAATTAACACATACTGACCAGGAAGAGACTCAAAATTACCAATAAGAGACACAGACCACAAAGAGATGCAAAGGAACTACAAAGAGACGCAAAATAACCAACCAAAATAGACACAAAAATAATCACAAAAATGGACCACAAAGTGACACAAAACAGCCACAAGGAGACATACAATGACCTCAGAGACACAAAACAGCTATACAGGGACATAATATCACCTTAAAAAAAGACACAAAATGACGTCAAAGAGACACAAAACAGCAACATGGAAACATGAAATGACCAAAAAATACACAAAATTACCTCAAAGAGGCATAACGTTATCTCAAAGAAACGCAAAACAACTATGAAGAGACTCAAAACGACTACAAAGAGACACAAAACAGCCCCACGGAGACATAAAATGACTAAAAAAGACACAAAATGACCTCAAAAAGACACACAACAATTACAAATAGACACAAAACAGCCACATTGAGACATAAAATAACCAAAAGCAACACAATATGACCTCAAAGAGACACCAAACAATTACAAATAGACACAAAACAGCCACACAGAAACATAAAATGACCAAAAAAGACACAAAAGTACCTCCAAAGAGACACCAAACAACCACAAAGAGACATACAATGACCTCAGAGACACAAAACAGCCATACGGGGACATAAAATCAGCTTAAAAAAAGACACAAAATGACATCAAAGAGACACAAAACAGTAACACGGAAGCATGAAATGACCAAAAAATACACAAAATTACCTCAAAGAAACACAAAACAACTACAAAGAGACACAAAACAGCCACACAGAAACATAAAATGACGAAAAAAGACACAAAAGTACCTCCAAAGAGACACCAAACAACTACAAAGACACAAAACGGCCACACAGAAACATAAAATGACCTCAAAGAGACACCAAACAACTACAAAGAGACACCAAACAACCATAAAGCGACACCAAACGACTAAAAAGAGACACAAAACAGCCACACAAAAACATAAAATGACCTCAAAGAGACACAAAATAACTACAAAGAGACACAAAACAGCCCCACGGAGACATAAAATGACCAAAAAGACACAAAATGACCGGAAAATCTTGGTGTCTTGCTCCTGTGTAGGTGAGGTGGGGGGGGGGCTTTTGCCTACCTGTGCCCCGGGGCCCACTGTCTTATAATCTGCCCATGCATGAGCATGAGATGCAACAACAAATGACTTATTGCTAATGGATTTTTCTTGGAGTAGAAGATGTCCAACTCTTTTTGCTGTCTTTTTTTTTTTCACTTAAACACTTTGTCTTCTGTACTTCACTCACTTCCCTTCTCAAAAATGTTATTTTTACTCAGAGCTCCATCAGCTGTCATACTTCTAACAGCTTCCCTTCCTCGTGCTTCTCTTTCATTTTTTTTTTTTATTTCTCCTTCTGTCCTTTAAGTTCTACTTGCCTTTCTGCCACCACACTATTAGTGTTACACTTGCGGGCATGTGAGTCAGTGATACAGGAGAGAGAGTGAAGAAAAGTGACAGAGAGGAACATGGACGGAGAGGAAGGGAGAGATTTAGACAGATTCTGCCATTATGCAATATCGTGTCAGACCCAGAAAAAAGAAGTTGTGCGTGGCAAAGTGTGTGTCTGCATGCATATCCATGTGTGTGTGTTTAAGTGTGTGTGTATGTGTGTCTACCTCTGCTTAACTCTGTCCTTATTGCACTTTATGATCCACGTAGCAAATGGCCCATGCATAACACAATCTCCAGCAGAGCGTGAATGAGTTGGTGAAGAGAGGCCTGTCACTCCAGCGCTGCCAATAACTCTGCAAGACTGTGTGTGTGTGTGTGTGTGTGTGCGTGCGTGTGTGTACCTATGTCTACAAGCATGCATGAGCGCATGTGTGTGCTGATTTGTGTGGGCGTTTTTTTTTTCCCCTCCGCTCATAGTGTGTGAGCATGATGTGTGGGATTTAATGTTTGTGTGCACACGTGCAAAAGAAACCCATCGGGTCAACAGCCAATCCGGGGGCCCACATTCAAAGCCAGACAGGGGAAGAAAACTAATGTTCAGTGACTGCGAGTGTATACAGTATGTGTCTGGGAAGAGAAAGAGAAAGATTGGGGGTGAGAGGCACTGGGAGAAGGGAAGAAAAGAGAGGGGGAGAGAAGAAATTCAAATGACAGGCAGGGAGGAGGAGGTAGAGACGGGGCGTCGCAGAGCAAGTCGGAACGAAAACAACGTCTGAGCAACTTTCTTTAGCCTTTCACCGCAATTTCAAACAGTGTCACATTTAATTTTAAGTGCCTTAACAAGCTGTAGGAGGTGAAAGTTTAGTGTTAATTTTGCTGGCTATAATGGG